AAAAAAAAAAAAAGAAAAAAAAAAAAAGAAATAGACACAACTATTTTAGTGGTTTATTCTAAGGAAAATTTAGTGGTCGATTGTGCCAGAAGATGAATATGATTACTTAGGTGACATCCTGCAGAGTTCTCCAACATGGGCAGTTTTGGTTATGAGCAAGGTGGGTCTCAGAGGTGATCGGTGATCAGATGGTGATGAAGTTCTAGATGCATTGAGACAAGCTCTAGACAGTAGCATGCAGTCCCATAACTTGTACCAGCATCCCCAGCATCTGGCATTCCATGTTTCTGCTCCTGTGGCCTCCATGGTGCAACAAGCTAGTGGTTTACTTGGACCTCTGCCTCATCTTTCTTCTTTTGCATTTCAGCCTGCACATTTGTTTCTTCCTCCACTTGGCCTTCATGGCGCAGAGGTTTCCAAAAAAAATGGCGCTTAGGCCGAGAGAAAACTAGAGATTCCTATTAGAAAAGTTAAGCCCTGTGGTTACAATGTTTCCCTCTTTCCTCCTTTCCTTCCCTTACAGGTAAATCAATCTGAACTCCTCTGCACGGGAAATGCTGATATTTCAATAGCAGACAGAAAAGCTGGGTAAAATCTTGATTGATTTTGTTTTCTATTTTAGATCCTAAAATAAGCAAAAGAAGACCATCAAGAGAGAGAGAAGAAAGTTCTGGGCATTATCAAAGAGACATACAGACGCTGATCCTACAGGTAAAGAATGTATTTTGGCAGACCAAGATGGCTTTTATCCACAAGTTGAACTTTATATAACATACCTTTAGTATCATGTGGTAAGTATCTCACTACACACAGGTTACATTTAAGCATCATGTGATTAAGAAAATTGAGGTTGTTCCTAATTTCCAAGAGCTTATATTTAAAAACCATCCTTTTCTATTGGAACATTCTAAAAGCGCTACTCTGAACCTTTAATTCAATATGCTAAGCCCCACCCACCAAAACCATTATAAAGTAAGAATTAACTGGCCTAGGGGTATACAGAGAGTTGCAGAAGGAAGCTTGTCTATGCTGATATATCAACATTTGGTGGTACATTCATTTATTTAGTGCATGGGTTCTAAAGTCTAGGAAAGTAATGAACTATTAACCTCCTGGTTATTATGTGTCATTTGGAACAGTGATTTTTCATCTAATTGTACTAAAGTTTCTGTTCTCATTAGGGTAAGTCTCTTGATTTAAATGACAGTTTGTACCTTTGGCCAGTGTCTCCATGTGAGTCATGACAGCCAGACACAGAGAAGGAAATTACATTATATTCATTTTGCTCTACTTGGGGAAACCAAAAACTAAGAAAAGAGTCATTCGGTTTCTGTGCAGCTAGGGTGTCTTAAAAGGGAAGCAGTCAAGGGAGACAGCGAAAAGGCAAAAATCATAGGGTCAAGGAAATTGAATTTTGTAGCTTTGTTTGTGTAATGTTGATGCTGGGTTTTGTGTGGACAAAGAATCTACTCTTGTGTAGCCTATCCCCATTTATAAGACACTAAGAGGAGGTGGGGCAAGGTGGCTCATACCTGTAATCCCAGCACTTTGGGAGGCTGAGGCAGGTGGATCATAAGGTCAGAAGATCAAGACCATTCTGGCCAACATGGTGAAATCCCATCTCTACTAGAAATACAAAAATTAGCTGGATGTGGTGGCACATGCCTGTAATCCCAGCTACTCAGGAGGCTGAGGCAGGAGAATTGCTTGAACCAGGGAATCAGAGGTTGCAGTGAGCCAAGATTGTGCCACTGCACTCCAGCCTGGTGACAGAGCAAGTCTCGGTCTCAAAAAAAGAAAAAAGACATTAAGAGGAATTGGGCCGGGCATGGTAATGCCTATAATCTCAGCACTTTGGGAGGCCAAGGAGAGATGATTGCTTGAGCCCAAAAGTTTGAGACCAGCCTGGACAACATAGTAAGACCCCATCTCTACAACCCGAGACCAGCCTGGACAACATAGTGAGACCCCCATCTCTACAAAAAATAAAAATAAAATTAGCTGGGTGTGGTGGTACACACCTGTAGTCCTGGAGGCTGAGGCAGGGAGGACTGCTTGAGCCCAGGAGATTGAGGCTGCAGTGAGCTATGATCATGCCACTGCACTCCAGCCTGGGTGACAGCCAGACCTTGTCTCAAAACAAAGAAGAGGATTAGAATTGAGACTCTTTGTTTGTGTTTGTTTTTTAATTTTTTTGGAGAAAGGCTCACTTTTCCTAGAGGTATGAAGTACTGTAAGTGGAAGTAGGGCTGGATTTCTCACACTTTTTGGCCTGTCTAGGTGGAAGCACTGCAGGCTCAGCTGGGAGAACAGACCAAACTTTCTCGAGAACAAATGGAAGGGCTCATGGAGGATAGACGGATTCGCCTCGAGGAAATACAAGTTCAGCACCAGAGAAATCAGGACAAAATCAAAGAACTAACCAGAAAGTGAGTGTCTAAGAAAGCTGTGCCAAACAGGTGTTTTATTTTTCTGAGTGGCTTGAAAGTTAACATTTTGTACTTGAGCAACAGCGGGTCATAGAACTGAAGGGAACCTTGAAAGAATTGTCTTCCTCAGAAACACCTGCCTCTAGGTAGATGAGTGTCTCACTTTTCTAGGCATGCTGTTGAAGAGCTGATGAGTTTTTCACGTACTCCTTTAAATCCATTTTAGTGTTTTAGCTTGCTTCTGGTGGTTAAGAAGTTCTTCGGCTGGGTGCAGTGGCTCACGCCTAGGCGACAGAATGAGACCTTGTCTCAAAAAAAAAAAAGTGTTATTTTATCCACTGATGTACTGTCTGACTCAATGTACTAGGGCCCTTTTCTTTTGTTTGCCCCTTCATGAATATGGAAAAGATGAGTCTGCCAGTGCTTTTTTCTAGAGACGTGTCATCATTTTTGTCTTCTAAGAAATTTTGAACCCAAGAAAGGCAGGATTATATTTTTTTTCAAACAGATTGATTTGGTGTAGTGTATTCTTAGTTATCAAAATACTCAAAAAGCTTTGGGATTTTGAATTGGTAAATATCTATGATGTGTGAAACAGCATGATACATACTGTACAATCTCAGTCTCATAAAATTGGATGTTGTGTCTACACACACGCAAGACTTAGAACGTCCTATAAACTTTGCAGTTTACAAACTGTAAAGTGCCTCTGATTGTGGATGACTTTAATATTTGTTTCTTATGTATTTCAGTTTCCTATAATGTACATACTTTTAAAAAATTATTAGGCTGGGCATGGTGGCTCACACCTGTAATCCTAGTACTTTGGGACGCTGAGGCGGGAGGATCATGCGGTCAGGAGTTCAAGACCAGCCTGGCCAACATGGTGAAACCCTGTCTCTACTAAAGATGCAAAAAGTTAGCTAGGTGTGGTGGCGTGCGCCTGTAATCCCAGCTACACAGGAGGCTGAGGCAGAATCTCCTGAACCCAGAAGGCAGAGGTTGCAGTGATCCAAGATTGCACCATTGCACTCCAGCCTGGGGGACAGGGCAAGATTCTACCTCAAAA